CCAGCTCCACCAGATAGAGCCGGCTTGCCCGTTCTGCGGCCTGTGCGACTGAATCCACCACCTGCTGTGTTTCTGTCCGCACGGCGACTCGGCGAGAGAGCGAACGTAGAGCAGGTGAATGATCGCCGGTGCCGCTCGCAAATTCGACGGTGAGGACCCCTTCTACACTCGCCTCTGGATCCCTGTCCCCGAGGTCAAAACGCTCCCGCCTGAGACGAGATTAGTGAGTTCGACGTCACGTGCCCCTCAACGCTTTACATCGATGGTAGTTGTATCGAACTCACCCCGTCCTTGTATACTGTATACTGCCACGTAGGGGATGGACGGTGGTGGACATTACGGACGGGCGTGGTGTGAAGTGTCTTCTGGGGGGTCACTTCCTCCCAATTATCCCCAAGCTGCACGAGCCGAACATCACGGCCTCCTCTAGAGCTTTAGGCATCTGCGGCAGCGTCTCAAAAAAATGCGAAGGTGCAGATATTCATGCAGATATTCGTGCAGAAGTCTGGGCACTACCGACAGGCTCGTAGATTAGATGAGCCGCTCTCCCTTCACAAAGCTGCAGCTCACCGGTCGCCTCCGCGACGGGGGCAGGAGATGGGCTGAGCAGTTGACTTTTTCTGGGAAGCGCGTGGGCAGACACGATGCGCCGAGAAGCCGCACGCGAGCACGCGTGCCCCCGCGGATGCGGAGACGGCCACAGAGCCTCTGGACTGACGGTGGGCTGCTGCTTCCATCAAGCAGGCGTTGTCTGAGGGCTTCGCACTTGTTCCCCAAGCAGTGCTTGCACTTCGAGGCTCTCAATTGCTTCACTCGGTGGTTGGCCAAGTAGAGGAGGCTTTTGGTGGCCGTCCCATGGCCGCCTGTGACCGCCCCGTGGCCGCCAGTGGCGTCCCGAGGCCGCCCCGTGGCCGCCTCGTGGCCGCCTCGTGGCCGCCTCGTGCACCACACAGCCTGCACCACATAGCTTACACAATAGAGCTTCCACCACAAAGCTTGCGCCACATAGCTCGCGCCACACAATTTGCACCACACAGCTTGCACCACGTCGATTTCACCGCATGGTTTGCACTACATAGTTTGCACCACAAGAAGCTAAAGCTTACGCAACATAGCTTGCACCAGTAGCTGGCAGGGCACAGCTTACCTATACGACGACCCTTCGGGTAATGAGGAAGTTGGGGGGTGGGGGGGAAAGAACAAACTGCTGGCAAAAGAAAGGGGTGTCATGATGACGATGCTGGTGACGCGCCTTCGAGTTGGAGACGACGCGTGATGACGACGTTGAGCTGCGATGCAATGTCACTAACGTCTTCGCTTACTCCCACAAACATTTGTCACGATCAAACTCATTGTCGATCTCACATGTGATCTCCCTATGCATCTTAATTTTCTGGCGACCTCGTTATCGATCTCACCATCGACCTCACTATCGATACCAAGCGGGAAACACCCGGCCACCGCCCGCCCACCGCCGAGGGAACCCCGACGGGACACCAACGGAACACCAACGGGACACCACAGGACACCACGGCGGGACACCCCTGGCCACCCAGCGCCCACCTGGGGCGGAGGGGCAGTCCACTGCATCCGAATCGCCGTAGAGACGGCGGGGTCATTCGTCGCGCGCGCACACGCAAATTCGCCTCGCCCGCACGCGCGACACGGACACGAAACCGAAACCGATTTCCCGGTGGGGGGCTCTCTGTCCCACTGCGAGGTTGGGGGGCTCGCCCCAACCTCCGACACCACATATCTTGCACCACATCGACTGCACCACATAGCTCACACCGCATGGCTTGCACCCTCCAACTTAGGCAGCAGAGCTTGCGCCTCACAGCTTCCACGCTTGCATCATATAGCCTGCACCACATAATTAGCTTGCACCACAAAATGTGCACCACATAGCTTACACCACCTAGTTTGCGCCACATGGCTTACATATCCACATTGCAACAACTTCCTGCTTGGGGCCCACGCCAGCTGAGTAACATGTGTGAATGCGACGGCCCGATTCAGAGCCAGAGCCGAGACTGCGGCTCATGTGAGCGTTTTTTTATTCGGCGTTTCGACATTGGTCGGAGAGGGGGGGAGGGGGGGCGTCTGGCTCCAGACCTCTGCTAGTGCGACCGTTCGCAGCAGTGGGTCCTATGAATGGAGACTCCACCTGCTCGAAACAGGCGCCAAACATAGCCAAGAGCTACTCCAGGAAGGGGAGGGGACGGGGGGGTGCGAGGGCCCACGACGATCGGCAAAACAATGAATAAGGAAACGACGACCATCATCGGTTTCTAAATCGTGTTGTTTGCTTTTCTTTCTCGGGCCCCCTGGCCTTGTCCCTCGGGTTCCCTGGTCGCGTTCCCTGGGTTCCAAGCCCGTGCAACGCTGAGCACTGCCAAGCGCTGCCAGGAAATTTCGTTCACTGCAAAGCAATGCAGAGCACTGCCAAGCAGTGCAAAGCGATGCCAAGCGATGCTGAGCAATGCCAGGCGAAGATTCCAAGCAATGCCAAGCAATGCCAAGCAATGCAAACCAATGCAGGGCAACGCCAAGCAATGCCAAATAATGCCAAGCAGCGGTGCCAAGCAATGCGCAGGGCAACGCAAAGCAATGCAGGGCAACGCCAAGCAGTGTCAAACAATGCCAAGCGACGATGCTAAGCAATGCCAAGCAATGCCAGCAACGCAAAGGAATGAAGAGCAACGCCAGGAAATGCCAAGCAATGTCTAGCAATGCCAATTCCAAGCAATGCCATGTAATGTAAAGCAATGCCAAGCAGGACCACGCAATGCAAAGCCATGCCAAACAATTATTTGTATCGCATTTCTTTGCATTGATCAGAACTGTTTCGAATGACAGTGGGAAAAAAGAACCCTAATCGGGGTCGCGCCAAGTTCATGTTTCAAGGCGGTAATTTCAATCACTGAGCTCTGGCCGTCTGCACGCGATATGCACAGCATACCGTGCATGAGGACAGAGACTAGCACAAACAACAACGCCCAAGATAGCAAGCAGGCCGACTTCTTTTGGAACAGCCGTCTCTGGCAACGCGTCCGATGTGCAAAGGTCTTCAGATCAACGCCGAGCCCGCTTACAACATGTTTCCGTGCTCCGTCGTATTTGGGAGCTCTGGTCCGAGGGGTCGACCTGCCCGAGCCTTGCCACAAACTCTGGACGGTGAGCATAGAGGCCTCAAGAACTTCCCTGCGGCTCCAGATGTGGGTCGTCCTACACGCGTACGCATCGCAACTTGCTTGGCCTGTGCAGCCACATAATGGCAAAGGTTCACAAGTTTCACCCAGGCGAGTACCCTGGCCAAGTGATAGTTTTTTGTTCATTGTTTTGCCAATCGGCGCAGGCCCCCCAACCCCCCTCACCCAACCCATGAAGTAGATCTTGGCTGTCTTTTGGCGCCTGTTTCGAGCGGGTGGAGCCTCCCCCCAGAGGCCGCACTGTTGCAAACAGTGGTATTCATCAGAGGTCCGGAGCCAGACCCCCCCCTCTCCACCCCCCCTTCCGCCCAATGCCGAAACGCCGAAATTGATCGCCAAAGGGCACGCGCCCTTTCTCCCGCTTGCAGGGTCCAGCACGGTGCTGCAGCTTGGCGGCGGGAAACAACAGCGGGCGAGGCACGCCCAGGACCACGCGAGCGTGTGCGGGGCGGGGGGCAGGCAGGGAAGGTGCTCCCTCTCTCGCTCTCTCGCGCGCGATCTTCAGCGAGCAGGTCCTGCGTGCATCTCTGCGGAGTTGCCTTTCGGTTGCATCCGGGTGAACGGAGGAAAGGGCGGGGGGGAGAGAGCGAGAGGCGAAGGCATGATGAGGAGAAGCAGGAACGCCCAGGAGAGAAAAAGCGGGAGGGAGCAGGAGGAGGGAACGGCTGACGAAGAGGAGGAGGAGGACGAGGAGGAGGAGGAACGACACGTGCAAGACTCGCACAATGAGGCGGAGAAGCGAGAGAAAATCTTCGGAGTGAGGGAGCGAGGAAGAAAACCAGGGATGGAGGAGGGGGCAGCGAGGACAGAATAGGAGGGAGGTGTGAAGGACATTGGCACAGGAAGGAGGACGGGGGAAGGGGGCTTGAGAGAGGAGCGTGGTCAGGGGGGAATGCTGATTTTCTCCACACCCCTCCCTGACCTTTCCTCTTGCCCCCGTCGTCCTCCTCCTCTCCGCCTCCTCCTTGTCCTCCTTCCGCGCGCGTGCCCGTGCAAGCGGGCAGCTGACTGGTCTCCTCAACCTCCTCCTCCTCCTCCCCCTCCTTCTCCTCCTCCTCCTCCATTTCCTCCTCCTCCCCGTCATCCTCCCCCTTCTCCTCCTCCTGCTCCTCCTCCTGCTCCTCCTTCACCGCGGCGTTCCTTCCACCTCGCCCTCGCCGGCCTCACCGAAACATTTACCCCATTCTCCCGCCGAGGTGACCGCAATGCTGATGCGCCAACTGTTTTCCCCCTTCTCATCTCTCGGCGGGGCGCGGCCCTGCAAGCCTTCCACGGCTTCGGCCTTCTAGGCCACCGAGCCCCCTGAGCCCGCTGAGCCCCCCACCCCGCCTCCCCTCCTCCCCTCGCGGCCTCCTCGTACGCGGCCGCCCTGCCAACCTCTTCCCCCTGCTCCAGAGCCGCGTCCGCGTCGCCGTCGAGAGCGGAAGGAGCGGAATCCTGCCCGACAGCGGCGCTCACCCGCCAAGGGCCAGGGAAACGGCGACGGGAGCGCGCATGCGGGGAGTGGCGGCGGGGGGGGGGGGGGGGGCAGGGAGGGGGGTGTTGCCTGAGGTGTCGCTGGCCCCGTGGTTCCCCGAAACTTCCAATGGGGGCGCCCGCGGCTCCCAGGGTGCACCAGAAGCTCCAAGGTGGGCTCTCCCGCGAGCAGGGGCCTCCTCCTCCTCCTCCTCCTCCCCCTCTTTTTTTCCCAACCATCCTGTGGTGTTGGTGAGGATGTCTCAATCGAAAGCCATCCAGGCGGGAGACGGAATGCCCGGCAGGGCTCGCTTGGGCGGTCCGCTCTTTCCGGCAAGGCGAGAGCGGCTCAAGGGCCCTACCTAAACGGCGGCGGTCAAGAGAAGCGCAAGGCAGCACAAGAAGGCAGGGACAAGGAGAGACGGGGCGAGAAGAGAATGATGGGCAAGACGACTAGAAGAGGGATGAAGTCGATTCACAACCTCAACCTCTTTTCTTTAAAAGATGCCAAAGGGAGGCTCAGAGGTCAGTCAGTAGTCGTCGTCGTCGTCCTCTTTGCTTTCTTCTTCTCGGCGCGCTTTGCGGCTTTCTTTGCTTTCCGGGCTGCGCTTGGAGGAGGCCTCTTTGTGTTCCTGTCGGTGGACAGCCTCAGCTCGGGCGCCCGGTCTGCGTTCGTGAAGACGTGGTTCCTGTCGTTGGTGGCCTTATCGTCTCCATCACGCGACACCGTCCCAGCAGACTCTGACGAATCAGAAGAACTATGGTCCCTGCTGCGGGACCTCCCTCGTGGAGTGACAGGACGTGGCGCCTCTGGTTCTCTGCGGCCCGAAACGTAATCCGGAACGCTAGCAGCACTCTGCTCCCGGCCAGCATGCCTACCACGACGCTGTTCCCAGTTGGCCTTGTCAAGTTTCGCCCTCTGTCTGTCCCGGAGCTTCCTGGCAGACATGTGGTGGCCCATCTGCTGGACATCTCGGCGGTGCAGATGATCGTGGTATTTCTCTGGCTTGCCACAGGCATCGTCATCTGCATCCTTGATACGCTTATTCATGCAGATTGCTTTCTGCGTTGCCTGCAGCTCTCTGTGTGCTAGCTCTACGGCCCGTTCAAACTGTCGCTCGCGAAAGGTATCCTGCTTGTTCTGCAGCTTCTGCATGGCCCTGCGCTCGGTAGACATCATGCTCAGAGCGCTGCATTGGAGCTGCCGCTCTACGCCGCTGACGCGACGTGCTGGCGGAAGCGCCGCAAGCTGCTCTTCTGCTGTGAGCCCTGCTGGAGGAGCCGGCGGGGCAGCCTTCGAAGAAGTACCTGGATGAGGAGGTCGAGCCTTGCTCGTGCAACCGGGCGCTGCCGGCACCCGGGCGCCGATCGCAGATGCAACCATGGCACAAACGTCCGCCGTTCCCTCCGCCGGGGAACCCAGGCGCGAAGGTCTGGCAGACGTCGCCGCGTTGGCACTCGTTGGTGGTGCTGTGGCTGGTTTGCAGGACGAGGTGAACGTAAGGGTACCAGAACGGATAGGTGCTAAAATCTTCTCTGGGTTGGACTTGTCCTTGGTAAGAGGATCTGCGACCATTTCTGAATCTGGCATCCAGAGCAGCTCCAAAGGAAGTACTTTGTCACAGTGTTTTGGAATCCTTGAAACGACAGCTTCACGAACTCTCTGAAACGCTGGAGTAAGATCTTCTTCCGAAAGGTGTGGCGTAGCAGAGTAGATGTTGGCTACGAAAGACCAACTGTCGGTAACCAGAACACCAAACGGAGGCTCTGGCATGTTCAATGCCTCTTGAATCCGGCGTCTCGTGGCAAAATTTACATCCAAGGCGGCTTCTGCCGAGAGGGCCTCGGCTGCCAAGGTGGAGATGCATGCTCGGACTTGTTTCTTTGACGCCCACCTGTACGTCGAGGCACGAACTACTTTACTCTTCCCCATCTTTTCTCCTATGAACGTGGCCATGCCGCGCTGCGGCGGAGAGTTCTCAGAAGAATCACCGAAAGAATAAACGCAGATGTCTTTGGCCATGGGGCCGTATGTGAGGACAACCGGAACGTTCTTGAGGCGACGGGCGTTCTTGTTGCAGTCGAGAAGCGTGCTCGCTGTTGCTGGTTGCACTTTGGACGCGACAGAACTCACGTGGAAAGAACCGGTCGGAACTGTCTGGTCCGAAACCCGGATCTGCTCACCGAGGCACTGTCGTAGGGAGGCGCGCTCTGCTTCTGTGACTGGAGAGGTCAGTTGCCGCAGACGGCGTGGAGGCACAGATGTGATTGACAGAGATTTACAATATTCTGTTTGATCAAGAGTGATGTACGGCATATCTACTTTAATACGTAAACCGCAAAAGACGAAGTTACCGTGCTCACGAGCGCCCCACTGCAGTGGCAAACTTTCAATGACATGCCAGAAAGCATCAGTTCCAGCCATAAGAGCGTCATCTACGTGAAGACCGACAAAACCCTGAAGTTGCTGGCTTTCGAAACGAAGAAACACGCATGGAACCCAAATCGATTGCACGAAGCCGCGTTCTAGAAGAAGAGATCTCATGTGAAAGAACCATGCTCTGGGTGCACGGCGCAAGCCATGCAAAGTCTTCCCTCGCTTCAGTCGCCACGCGTGCCCTTCTGGCAGGTCCACGCCAGCAGGCGGACGAACAAACACAGGCGAGTCATCCCAGTTAGGATCTGCAGAAGCGTCTGCCTGCAGAAACGCCTTCTTCACGCCCCATGCTTCTGGTTCATACTGCATGTAACCAGATAGCCAAAGAAGAAAACGAACCGAGTGTCGATGCAACGTTGGACTCTCTACCACGTGGCTGTCCTTTCCGGGCTCGAAACAGCCTTGAACTACGAGACGGGCTTTTGGTTCGCCGTCAGGGGCCGTGTAGACGAAGCGGGATGGCACAGCAGACGCGCCATCTGGAAGCTGAACAACATCAAAGTTATCCGAAACAGCATGTAATTCACGAAGCCGGGGGGCTTCGAAGACGGGATCTGCCTCTGCAATTTTGCGTGGAACTTCTTTCGCCCGCTTCAGTGTTTTCGCAGCTGCCAGAGCATCGAGAACAGATTCCCCTGGAACGTGAGCGTCTTCTGGACAGCTTTTGCAAAAATCCGCAACCTCAGCCATCATGCTCCATTGTGTCGGTACTTCGAAAAACGATTCGTCAGCATCGTTGTTGGCTGCTGCAAAGAAGTCTTCGTTCTGATGAGCTTCGTGTGGCGGAATTTGTGATTTGTGTGCAGGCTCCTCTTCTGCTACTCCGTGCTCTCACTTTCGCTTCGTCGGTCCAGAAGGAAACGGTTGTTTCCCAGAGAGCCGGCGGGTCGGTTTGACCGCACCAGAAGAGGGACTTCCACTTCCAGGTTGCTGTGGTGGCTGGGAAGGTGGAGGCAGGACAGGCGTTGCTGGTCCGATTCCCACGGCCGGGAAGCCCAGGCTCGCAGGTCCAGGAAAACCAGCCGGAGCAGGTGCAGCAGGAGGTGGTTGTGGCAAGGCTGGTGGTGGCGCCGCTGGCGGTGGTGCCGCTGGAGGCGGCGGTGGCGACGAGGCCGCGCCATCGAAAGACTGGTCGTGTCTGTTCCGAGCAATTTCCTGCACAGGCGCTTGGATATGGAGTTCGAGGACCCCTCTGCGTTCACGAGGGCGGACCCTGTGCCTGTGTACAGAAATAGCGTGTCCATCTTGCGTCCGAACCCACACTTTTTGTTGGCCTTCCATGCCTAGCACCGTTGCTGGGCCTTTCCAAGCTTTTCCCGCTGTTTTGTCTTTGGAGCTTTCGTCGGAAATCCAATCTACGATGGTACCGGCAGTCAGAGGGCCAAGTGTACCCGCCAATCGTGAATTGAATAAGTCCCGCAATTCAGAGCACGACTGGATCTGGATAGCTACTTGCTGCGCGGCTCGCCGGAGGGACAGCCTGGCCTGAGCGCTGCTCGCGGGGTCCGCAGGGAGATCCCGGAGCATAGGCGGGTCTGCCTCGTCGATGGCGTCGAAAAACGGGTTGTTCCCAAGCGCGAGGAATTGGGACGAAAACCCACATCGTCGCACCAAAGCGTTCATAGCAGCACAAGCTTGCAACATGACGTCCGTAGTGGTGAGTCTCCTACTGTTGAGTTGGTTCGTGAACATCTGCGGCAATTTGTAGAAGATAATCTTCAATACCCCGTTGTGTCGCTCAACAAGGCCGTTTGAAGCAGGAGTACGGGGAGGGATCCACTAGTGACGTACTCCGTGTAGCTCCAGATACTCTTCTACCTCTTTGTTGGCATACTCACCACCACTGTCGGTCAAAATGTTCTCTTGTAAGCATCCAAAAATGGATTGCCATCGGGACAGCGTCTGCAGCGCGCCGCTGGGTTCCCTGGTCGGAACCCGCTCTGCCAGGGACCACTTCGTGAACGTATCGATCATATGATGAAGAATGATGGGTTGGGTGCCCAATTTGATCTCGAATGAATCGACGCACGCGATCTGGTTGACAGATCTGGCGCTCATCCCGGAAGTCTTGGGGTGAGGAGCAGCTTTGCGAAAACGATCACATATCTTGCAGTTGTGTGTGATATTATCTGCAAGAGCCTTCACAGCACTAACGGTTCCAGGATCCAACACAGGAGTAATTTTACGCATCAAATGTTCCACGCTAGGGTGGCCGAGTCGATCATGGATCTTTTTTTCAATCCGGCTTCGGTGGTCAGGTCGCGCTTCAGCTGGGACAAACGAGGCGGCATCGAGATCTGAAACGACCCAGGGCTGTCTAGCACTGTGATGGTTTCATACGCTGTTTCTTTGCTGGCGGGGCTTCTGGTCGTAGAGGGATCTGCGCGTAGCGTTTCTGGACGCACGGGGAGGAGTGGAAACAGGTAGTGTCCAGCGTGGCTCGTCTTCAAAGGTATTGTCTGTTGCGTAGACTTCAGAAACAGCGTGTCTGCGTCGAAATCAACGACAGCACGTAGATTATTAAGCTGTGGTTTGGACAACAAGAAAGGTGTAGCTCGTGGACCTGTGCCTGTTTTGACTACCTCGAAATCGGTTCTAGAGTTAAGCGTTTGAACAGGAACGTTAGCTAAACTTGACGCCGTTTTCGAATCACCCCCAGCAAAACGATACACTGTCGAGGAAGGCTTTTCGGACGCACGCAGATCAGGAAACTCTGTGGCAAGGAGCTTTTTGAACTGCTGGTAGCGGTCTTCCGAAACCATTCTTTTCGAGCAGCCAGGATCGACGATAGCTTCGTGGACCGCGATGTCCGTGTGCAGGCTGTGCTCTGTTGCAAACAACGGCATTGCTGCTTCTGCGACGTACGAGGCGCGATTGTCTTCTTTCGGGTCTTCGTCTTTGGCTTCGTCGTCGTTGCTGCTGTCGTCTTCGTCGCTGTCGCTGTCGGAGTCGACGGAAAAGGCTGGAGGAGGCCAGTCGTCGCCGTAGTCGTCGTTCTGCCCATTTTGGCACGGCTGTGGGCCCATGCACCAGCACGGCGCTCGGAGCAGCGGGTCCACCAAGTCGATGTTCTCGCAGGTGAAGCACATGTTCCCGCACTCTACGCGGGACAAGCACTTGTGCTGCGCCATCAACTCGCC